ACGTTTATGAACGTCGCAAAAATCACAGAGAAATCTGCCATAGGGATTCGTTGGGGAGTGATTTCAACCGAACAGGTTTGAATCAATATATTTTTTTGACTAACGCAACATGTTCCACCAAATCTGAGAAACGAGATCGAGTGCTTTCAAAGATGTTCTCTTTTCCTCTAAACCTCTTGAACTGTATCTGAAGCTCTCGGGATCATGAGATCTCGCTATGGGGATTTCTTGAGGAACACTCCCAGCTGCGCGAAAAACCCGTTTCCTGTGTACCGTTTCAAGTGAGCGTGTTCGAATAGCCAGGAACGCATGTAAACGTATCCTGTGGTGGAGCAGGAGCAGGACGTATAGCTTCGTGTGCCGATCGGGACTTTGTTCGCCTGCCGCACTGGAAGTGTCCGCGCCAGACCGTGACTGGAGATGGTGCAATCTGCTGTCGGTAATGTCTGTGACCACGCGAGCAAATGATGTCATATAAGGTTCAGGGAGGATATCGGGCAGCCTGTGGCCACCTTTGATTTACACGTGCCTTTTCCGCTTGACGTATGATGGAAATGCCCTGTCGACGATGCCAGATTCCGCTCGCTCGCAATATCGCCTGACTCCGGATACAAGGAGGACCATGCTGAAAACCGCCTATACGAACGACTATGGTAGTCCGTCGCTAGTCAGATGAAAAAAAACAGGTTGGCTCAGCGCCAAGCGCTACCGCGGACACACATTGGCAGCGAACCAGAGTTCGAGTTGTACTGTTTAGTCACCAACGGACTTACGAGATGATGTCGACTTATTAATATTTGCAGTTATTTCGGATTAGTTTGATGATGGAAAGTCTGTTCTGTACTATTTTTCGTTTGCATATCCGACGTTCTCTACAAACGCAAGTTCGCTTATGACAGGACTTCAACATTGGACAATTGGAGCTGCCTCGTTACTGGCTGCCGCCACTCGCTACGACCCCCCCCCCTTCCTAGGCAGCATTACGACCCCCCCCCGCTGTTGGGATTCCGCCGAAACAACGATGCTGCCTGCATGCGAATATCGATTACTCTCCTCGCCATCTCATGACAGCCATAAATGCTTCGGTCTCCGCAGTCGCTGCGTGCTCCTGTTCAGGCGAGCGTCGGTCGCGCCAATATGGTACCCCTTCACCTCACCTATCCCCAAACTAACCTCAGCTATTCCCCGCTCAGCCACCCTACAGGTCACACTCAGCTGCTACGCGAATACCGTGCAATGGTTCTGAGTGCACTAAATGGTTGTGTTATGTTGTGGAGGGTTATGACTATCAAAACGCTACCACAATTTGATAATGCAACATTAATCGGTTCAGTTCCGATTGCGGTCGATCCATTTTCTTCCCATCTTATCGCAACCGTAGACGCCTTACCGCCGCAGGCGCTATGTGCTCCTAATCGCGAAATCGCCGTTCTCATCTGGTATCCCCCTCACCACATCATATCCCAGTAACCCTATTTAACTGGCGCCTTTCCCGCCAGGGCACATCGTTGGTTTGGGGAATCCACAGGGGGGGTCGTATTTGGCCGCCAGGAGAGGGGGGTCGTAGTGAGTGCGGCAGCCAGTAACGAGCAGCGCAAATTGTCAATGTGCTGAGTCCTGTACAACGAAACTTGCTTTGTAGAGAACTCGGATATGCAAAAAAATAGTACAAAAAACTTTCATTCATCAAACTAATCCGAAATAACTGCAAATATTAATAAGTCGACATTATCTCGTAAGTCCGTTGGTGACTAAACAGTACAACTCAAACTCTGGTTCGCTGCCAATGATAATGGGGCGGTGTCACCGGTCGCCGCTTAGCGCTGACGCCAACCTGTTTTTCTCGACAAGCGACAGGATAGTTCATATCAGACGTTTTCCAGCAGTTGGTCTCCTTTATCGGAGTCAGCAATTGGCGGAGCACGAATCTGGCAGCGTTGACAGGGACATGTTCCATCATACGCAACGGAAAACACTGTAAACAATTGCACAGCTCGCCATGGACCTCTCTGAACCTTATAGACACATTTGCTCGCGTGAACAGACATTACGCACAAGTTGCACCATCCCATCACCTCTGCGCGGCCCTCAGTGCGCGGCGCATCCAAAGTTGGCGTGATCGGCGCTAAACGAACCATATCCTGCTCCTGCTCCACCACAGGATACGTTCTACATGCGTTCCTGGCTATTCGAACACGCTCACTTGAAACGGTACACAGGAAACGGGTTTTTCGCGCAGCTGGGAGTGTTCCTCAAGAAATCCCCATAGCGAGATCTCATGAATCCCGAGAGCTTCAGAAACAGTTCAAGAGGTTTTAGAAAGAGAAAATCTTCAAACACTCGAAACCATTCTCAGATTTGTGAAATGTTGAGTTACAAAAAAAATATATTGATTCAAACCTGTTCGGTTGAAACCACTCCCCAACAATCCCTATGGCGATCTCTGCGGATTTGCGACGCTTCATAAGCGTTTAGTACTTTTAGGAAGTGCAGACCTTCTCTGACACGATAGGGTCTCCTCTTCCACAGGTCGCTTTTGGGAGCGAAGTTATGGTCCTTCAAAGACACCTAACTCAGCTGGAAATTCTCGCTCCATGGCTAAAATTGCCGAATAATCTCCTGTCACAGCCGCAATTACATGCGCTTCTGCTACCGTACTCCAATAATCGGGGTAATGCATTTTTACGTATGGTTTGTATAACTGTTACGTAGTGAGACAAGCCTAACTTTCTCTTTTCCTCGTCCTCAATCAGTTGCGGATCTAAGACGTTGTTAACACTGTGGTCGCTGATGGCCGCTCCCAGAGAGGGAGTTCCACCTCAGGTTAACGAATGCTCATTGAATTTAATCGCGATATATCGTTATTATTACCATGTGTGTTTCAAAACGGCCATCGAAGAAGTTCATCATACGAGTTTCTCATAATACGATTGTACCGTTTTTTGTTTGCAATCATCTCTGTATTGTTCTATTATGTCATGACTTCAAGTCGTCCATTTAGTATGGGCACCTTCATACAAGTAGAATTTCATAGTGGGCGTTTCATAGTTTCATTTAAGGCGAAAAAACCGAACGGCAAAAAAAGGGGGGGGGTCGTACCGAACCCCCAAAAAAAGGGGGGGGGTCGTACAGGCTCGACCAAAATCCCCATCGAATGCTGTGCCCTGTTCCCGCACGTGGATGCAGCCGCCACGTGAGCAGCTGGTGCAACATAGGGACACTACGCCGCCACTGTTCTTACCACCGCCTTGCTCGTGCTCACGTCCAGCTCCCAAGCGCAGCTCCTGCAATAGCACAGAGTCCATCACAGTGATTGGCTTAGATAGGGGAGCTATTCACAATCCAAACAGCTTCCTAGTTCGTTGCTGTAACATGGATTAGCTTGCAGTTTTGCTAGGGGTTCTTTCCTTCTGTCTTGCCGCCTGCTCCTATCCAAGCGTACGCTACGCATCCCCTTACTGTACCCAGTTTGCCCGATTCAATCCATATGCCTCCTTCCCCTGCATGGGCTCAGATCCGACTGAGTACGCGCAAGGAAGTGAGGATGGGAGAAGGGGGTCACTCGATACTAACTCCCACCTTCCTCACCCTCCACCCACATCACCTATTCGGTACTCGGCCACGAAGGGTGGCAGGTAGCGCGCCCGAAACTGCGCGCTACGCACCCCTCACTGTACCCCTCCCCCCTCCCCGCGACCCCTTCCCTCTGCCTTCCCTCCAATAACATGTGCTCAGCTCCGGCTGAGCACATGCAGGAGAAGGAGGCAGGGCGACGCCCCCCCTGCCCCCGCACGAGCACACGTCCAGCTGCCACGGCAGCAGCTCGTGCAATGGCTCGGAGTGTACCGAGTGGTTGTCTTATATATGCTGTTATCACAATCAAAACATTGGATTGATACATCTGCACCGATGGGTTCCCGGTTTGGCTAGCGGTCGTTTTCTTCTTTCACTAACGTGTTTAATCCCGTAAAGCATTTTGCGGACGGACATACATACAACTACATACCGACAAACGACACACAAGGTTTCTGCTATAGAATGTTAAGGATAAGATATTGGTATCAGTCGCGATTTACAAAATTTAATCGCTCCGCATTGCTTTATCACGTCATGGCGCGCAGTAGTGTCGCCAGCGAAACTGTGAACATATAAAACACCTGTCCTGACCTCTCACTTTTTTTACTTTTCTCTCTCAGTTCTGGTCTTGTGGGCATTCTGATGTGTTTCATTGGAGATATTATGGTGGAAATCAGGATTCAGCGGAAAGGATGATCAATGTAACTAGTGATGACGCCCGCTCTTCCCCACCCAGCATCTCACTATGATAGCCCCCGTGCGTGAAACAACTCAGCAAAGCTCGTCGTGCGGTACGGTAGCCGCCTACGATGCCGTACGCAACTACACTCAGGCGGCGGGCATTTTTGGAATTCTTGTATAACATCACTTTAATCCACTTTCTTTAATACAATAGTTGTACAGAGCATCACAAAATGTTAAACGTTCACATATGTTCTTGTTGACCTAAAGAAACCTTTTTTGCATCCATGAAAAGCGAACTGAGTTGCGTGGTCGTTTGTTCCGTCTCGGTGCAACATTTTAAGTTTTTTGGACTCTTCTGGCACACCTATTTCTGTTGCTGTTGTTCGTGTTGATTTGCTTCATCCTGTTTCCAATACCGAAATGGGTTAGCGCCGGAAAAATTCGGTGCGAGTGTCGAACCTATACGGTTTGACTCCTACAGCAGTTGTGTAAATGCTGATCTGATTATGTTTGTAAAGATGTCGCAAATGGGTGAGAACGTCTAGACTTTGTTAGTGAAAGAGTATCTGTGGAAAGTAGCAGAGAAGTGTTCTAAGGTAATCTGTGCACATCAGGCTATATTTCTTTATCTTCTTTCTGCTTTACTGTTGACGTTTGACTGCACTATTTTATTAATTATGCTTTATGGTGAGTGTATCGTCGTGCTTTGAGGATTACTTTTTATAGACTTTTCTGTGGCCATGGTTGCAATGATGGACGCAGATGAGGTCGACGACTATACAGTCATTTGCAAACAGAAGAACGGTTGGTCGTTTTTATATCTCACTGAGGTTACCGACTGAAAACTGTGTAATCCTCTGTCTTGAAGTCGTTGTAGTCTGGTTTTGCGTCTGCGGATGATGGGGCGTGTCCGCGTTTCGCGCGGCGTTACCCGTTTTTTCTTTTTTTTTCTCTCGGCAATTTTTTCTATCGCAGGTGAAGGACTGTAGTCAACACAGTCGTTCGTATGCGGTGGTGCAACAGTTAATTGCTCCATCTACCCACTTAAACCACTGGTAGAGAATAGATTTGGCGGCGTGTCAAACGCAGCCGACACGCCCCATCATCCGCAGCGAACCAGACTGTACCACATTCATGTTGGCGCATTCCTTAATTCCAAACATCATAAGCGAAGTACAAATATCGAGCGAGGGGTTGTTGAGTCCGTAGTGTGGAAAGGTGGCTTATTTTCTCGATCCTGTCCTTATCTAGGTTGGGGACAGTTTGGGGAGGGAAGAGCGGGGAGGGGGTGGTTTACAATTAATGCCGGAAATCTCTTGATCAAAGCTTCTTCAATGTTCGGTGCAACACGTTCTGTCCTTTCTACAGTAATACTCGAGTTAAGCTATTTCCAGCTCACACTCGTGGCTTAGTTGGTGTCTGGTCATTCCGAGCCGGAAATGGAATTGTTGGTCTAGTGACGGTTGGACATGACTCTGTGAAGCTTTGGCGGATGTGAGTATTTTTGTGAGAAAAGATTCATTTTTACCGACCTAACCAAAGTTCAGGGACGAAACAGCTAACGGAGCTGTTACACTTACCAGTAAAGTTGAAATACGAGAGTGGCGAACAGCCATCCAATCCGCTGACGTCACTAGCGACGGAAAATGTAAGCATTTTTCATCTTCCCTTATGTTTACATGTTATTTATAGTTGTCATTGCGTTAGGCATTTGTCTGGTAACGGTTGATTCAATGTTCTACGAAATAATCCTCGGCGACGAGGGTCCCGTTGTGATGCCACACGATTTTGGCGTTATGGAAGCGTGGCACGTACGAATCGCTAAAAGCAAAACAAACTACATCACGAGTGAGTTCGTGAAAAGAAAGGATTTAAAAGCTCAAGAGTCTACGCTAAAAGTCATGATTCTTTTTTACTTCAGCTGCGTTTTCTGGTTTTTTGAAAGAAATCGATCTTAGCGGAAAGGTATCTCGCCAGGAGCCGTTTCCCTCTGCCAAAACTGTTGGAGCTATAGCATACGTAAGTTGCTCCCTGGTAGTGCTGTTACATCTTTATGTTGCTGTTATTAGACGCGAAATATCGTGGTCCTGCCGAAGGAAGTCAATCAGGAAACGCAGTTATCCTAATGTCAATCTACGTTTCATATAATGTTCCTTTATCAGGGCAGTAGCAACCGTCGCCTCGCTGTGTCAACGTTTGAAGGCGTTTTGCACATACTGGATGTCGCGACGTTGAAAACGGAGACAACTGTAGAAGGTACATTCGAATCACTGATTATTTCTCGTTAGACAAAAAGTTCGAAGTATTCATTTGCAGCACATTCGAAGCGAATTCGTGCGTTGGCTTTTCTGCCTGGAGACGACGATATTCTAACTGGTTCCGATGATAAAACCATCAAACTTCATTCAGTGTAAGGTTTGATTGATTTGGACACTCTCAAATTTCCTAACGCTTTGGTCACGCCATTTGTCCTGAAATTGGTGTCGCTCCAGGAGATCAGGAGCCGGATGAATACGGACGGGCATTCTATATATGCCGCTTGAGCTTTTGCCGTTAATCGACAGTCGCCTCGATAGACACTCCGGCCTTCTCTTCGCTAGGCTTTGTATCTTGGTCGAATATGTCTGGCTTTAAATCGATAAGTTTCGATCCATTGGTCGCAGAAGTGACGTCAGGCCGCGCAGTCTGGCAAGTAGGCAGTATTGACGCCTCCCTCAGGTTGTGCCGCGCCCACTCATAGCCGCTATTTCCTCTATCGCGATTTCCAGCGCTGTCATTCTCTGTTTTGTTTTTCTTTCTCGTTCATTGTTACTTTAAGCACGCTGGGATGACGCGAAGAAAAACCATTAGTGAGGCCGGCAAGATATTGTTTTGCAGGCAGTGAGGCTGCCAAGGGGCCTTACTTTGGGTGTCCCCCTGTTTCTTTTTGCTTTCGCGCTTTGAGAATCGTTGCGCCCAAGTTCAACAGAGAATAAACTGAGCGGTCATAGAGTAAACTAAGTAGTAGTCTTTGGGCGAATAATTTGGTGCTGTAGATCATCAGCGAACCTTTGCCCAACGGTTCAGCGAACCTTTGCCCAACGGTAGAGATCCTACAGGGCTCAGCGACTCAGCGTATAGCAGCAACAAACCCATGAACCAGCTTCTGTCTGTCATCGGTGGTGAACAAAATCAGAGTCGATTATGTAGCCCATTCCATAAGAGATTGACCAGAGCGGAGAGGTTTTTATTATCAGATTTACCTGAGAACAAACTTTGATAAATAAGCTGTGGTTGCAGAGGAGGCGAACGTCCGAAAGTGGAGCGAGTCTATTGTGGGCACCGTAGCTCCGTGTTATCGTTGTCGGTTGATGATCGAGCTGATGGAACTCGATTCGCAAGTAGTAGTCTAGATGGACAGGTATGCATGATCATCCCCTTGGATTTCGTTTCAAATTAAGATTACGCACATCGTGCAGTTGGAAACACAATCACAAAAAGTTACCATTGACATAGAGCGTAATTTTGACCTCGAAAACTTTCCCATAATCTTATCAAGAAACGTTTCCTTGCTGTATGTTGGCTGCTTCGCCCAACCAGTTCATCACATCAAATGTAGAAGTGCTGTGAAGCTACGTTGCAGAAGCCGTTGAGCTGAGAGGGTAAAAGCGGCCGAGGTGGCGCTTCGAATAGCGCACTCGCCCAATCAGCGGCAGATGCGGTTCAAGTCTTGCCTGAGGTCTTACTTGTGCCCATAACTCAGCATTCTTGTGACAATCTGATTATAAAAGTTCAAGAACTTCCCGTCAAGACCTCAGTGGAAATTTGGACAGATCAGGGCTTTTGTGTTCACTCTCTACTCAGTGTTCGTGGCAACAGAGTTACAGAAACAACGTAGAATATCTGTGATATCATCATAAAAGCTATACAAATTTCTTTTTAGATCCTGCTCTGGCATATTGAACAACCGACTGCTCTTCAACGGTTGCCAAGTCCTCACGCAGGGGCGGTGAGTGTGTGTACTTTTTCTGGGGAGGTCTCGATTTGGTTTTTTCTGAAAGGGATGCCTTGATATTCTCCCTTTTTAAGGTGTCAACGATTGCATTTCTCCCAACTGGACGTCATCTTGTTTCGGGAGGCGAAGATGGCGTTGTGGCTTGTTATCGTGTTCCTCAAGCTGGCATGACGTCTCCAGGGAATATTGAAAGAGAGGATGATAACATGGGTATGTTTTATAGATGGGTGCTGTGATGAAAACATTACGATGGCTGTTGAATGTGCGACATCTGAGGTCATGTCATTTCGTGGCTCCTCAGAACTAGCAGTATTTTTTCGTTCCCAAACGAGACCTGGGTTCAGTTTTGTTTTTACCTTTTGGAATTCGTTTCAATAGTACCTTATACCGGAGATTCCCTCATTTGATTTGACCTATTTTGTACAAGCAGTGATTTCTCCTTTTAACCGTAATTTTACACACTTCGTGTGATGTCCTTCTTTCATCTTTCTGACCCTTTCCTCTTAACCCATCTTTGTTGCATCATTTTTGCATGTGCACCTATCTTATAACTTCTCTCATGTTGGGTCGTCCCATTCAAAAGTGCCGAGACATATAGAGGAATGGCAGAAAAGTAAAGGGGATAGAGCAGCGGGCTACTATACCATTTGGAGGTTAGTACCTTTAGCTATGCATTTGTGAAATTTGGCGAACACAACAAGTGCCCTGCTGAAATTTGATCGGCGCCGGACCAGTAGTTGTTGTAATGGTGTTCTCGATAAAAAAGGTGGAAGATTTAGCTTCAGGAACCCGAAGAAGGAAGAGAGGAAAAAAATTTGTTGTTCTGGATGGTCCCATAATGTTTCATCCCGCACAAGAAAAA